TGCACCTTCAGATTCCTTAGGTGCTCCTGAAGCTGAAGCTTGCAGTATTATTCATGGTGTGCGCCTTCAGATTCCTTAGGTGCTCCCGAAGCTGAAGCTTGCAGTATTATTCATGGAAAGTTCATTTTGTCCAGCATGGGGTAAGGATGATTGCAAAAGAGATATCATGACTGCATTATAAATTTGACTACGTTATGCACTTATGATGAGTGGCAGATATGAAGAAAAAGATACTTGCAGATTTTTCTCCATTTTTATAGCTTTGATCACTAAGTGGTCAAACACTGGAACAGGCTTCCTAGAGAGGTGGTCAATGCCCCAAGCCCATCAGTGTTTAAGAGGCATTTGGACAGTGCCCTTAACAACATGTTTTAACTTTTGGTCAGTCCTGAATTGGTCAGGCAGTTGGACTAGATGATTATTGTAGGTCCCTTCCAACTGAAATACTCTGTTCTATTCTAAGTCAGTGCAGAAAATAAAGGATGTGAGGAAGAAAGTGAAAGCCAGATGTTAGTTTATCTAACATTAACTAATAGATTGTTGTCTTGTATGTTGTTTTATTTTGAAATATGAATTGTATCTAAATTCTGTATCAGAAAACCCCACTGAATATCTGCTTGCCCAATTATAGCTGACAATTTTCCAGAATTTCACAGCAGGATCATATAATTTATCTTTCTCGCTACCCTTAAATACTACATACACTGAACTTTTGTAATCCCACTTTACAGAAAAATGACAAACACCTTCTGAACTTAAGCACAGAGAAAAAGAAAACATAACTATCTCAGGTTTGAGCAGGTTCACTACTAAAGATAAAAAGATCTGTTTCTCAGCAGAAAGTTTATTTGAAATGTGGATGTGGGATTTAGGTACCTCTCGAAATCCCTGTGGGTCACTAACTTGCATGGTAGGGACATGTGAAATTCTACAAACTCTAGAACTGGAACAATGCACTTTTCCTTAACAGTAAGGATGTGAAATTATCAGGACAAAGATGTACCTTTTTGTTACAACAAAAAAAGACAGCAGGTGCTATAAATGATTTGCAGGATTGAGTCCAGTATACTAACAAGGACAAGAACATTGAGTAGCTGAGAATTGTAAGCCTTTGGACATCCTGCCCTTAGCTAACACAATTTTTTATCTATTAAATTATTGACAGGTAAAAACGTCTGCAAATCAGTCAGCCATGGCTGTGAGCATATTTGTGTTAGCACTGACAATTCCTACGTCTGCAAGTGTCATGAGGGATTCGTATTGAGAGAAGATGGCAAGACTTGCAGAAGTGAGTGACCGGTATCTATTGCATATTTTTGCATGTGCAGCAAAAATTCCTTTTGTTATCTACATTTTTTTAACCTGTTTTCATTGAAAACCTATATTTATATCAATCATTCCCAGGACGGGACATCTGCAGATCTGTCAGCCATGGCTGTGAGCATATTTGTGTTAACGAAAATGACTGGTATGTTTGCAAGTGTCATGAGGGGTTTCTGCTGAGAGAAGATGGGAAAACATGCAGAAGTAAGTACTCTGATAATTACTCATAGACTTTTATCTACAATATATAGATACATTGAAGTGTTCTAACAAATAAAGTTTACTGTTATAATATTGGAGCAGTATTGTCATACCTGCCAGAAGCTTGTAAGAGGCTCTGTGGACAGAAATAATGTATTTTAATAGCCAAACCGATATGACTGGAGACAAAAAAGACTCACAATTTTTCAGGGACCAGGAGTTAGAAGTGTTTGCTGCCTAAATTTTTGCTTATTTCTTCCAGTTATATATAGACCTAGTAAAGGCTGTTACTTCTCCCTGCATGATACATTCCCTGTAGATGTGCTTTAACCAAATATCATCAACTATTCTCAGATAAAGACATTTGCAGTTCAGTTGACCATGGCTGTGAACATGTTTGTGTTAATGCTGATGAGTCATACATCTGCCAGTGTTATGAGGGATTTGCACTAAGGGAAGATGGAAAAACATGTAGAAGTAAGTATCTTTATCTTTAATGGAAGACTTCCTTTATGATTTCTGCATTTGTAGACATGTTTTAAATACCAACAACCTTGGGTTTTTTTTCCAGATAAAGATGTTTGCAATTCTGTTGACCATGGCTGTGAGCACGTTTGCGTGAATACTGATAGTTCATACATTTGCCAGTGCTATGAGGGTTTTGTATTGAGGGAAGATAAGAAAACATGTAAAAGTAAGTTATTTATGTTACTGTATTTTTTGCACTGGGAGGTCTACTGATGAAATGTATTGTGTTAGAGGTAGGTCTTCTTGTAGGGGATTTTGTGTGACAAAAAGGAGGATAAATTCTTTATTTACTAGGAGCTTATTACTTTTAGTCTTTAAAGTTTTGGAAATGTTTTCATTCATCAAACTGTAGTAAATAAAATCTAAATTATTCCTAGATAAGGACATCTGCAAATCAGTCCGTCATGGCTGCGAACATCTTTGTGTTAATAATGCTGATTCATATACTTGTCAATGCCACGATGGATTTGTACTAAGGCAAGATGGGAAAACATGCCGAAGTAAGTAGCTTATGAATAAAAGAAGGTATTTCATTTTCCTTTTATTTGGAGGTTATTCCTGCTGGTCAGAACGGAATACTGTTGTCAATAGATCATAAGACTTCTATGAATTAATTATTGTTTGAACTAAAGATACATTTCAGAAAATCAGCCAATTTTAAGGTTTGAATGTAGCTTTTAAAAGGTGAACTTCATTTATAGATTGAGTATGTTGAGTTTTAATGTTGAGCATAGGATACTGCTATGTTTTACTTTGACGGGTTGAAGTTCTAATTGCCACCGAGTTGTTCTGTGTATATTCATGCAGGTCATGATTTAACCTGTTCCCTAACTTAACCTCTTAGCATGTTCTTTTATAAATGACAAGCAGATGAAACTCCTTTGGGCTCTTTATATGTTGCCTAATCTCTTCTAAGTCTCTTCTTGCTTCCCTAAAACCTCTGCTATTTATCAGCATCCTTGTGGGGGCACCATAGTGGTACAAAGTCTAATAGGAGACACAGCAAGGCCCAGGGCAGAGGAATGTTAAGCCACCTAATTCTTTTTTGAGTCTGTCTTTCTTTATCTTTTAATCTATCTTTTTTTATGACCAATGATAGTGTTAGTCTAGTTGGAGAGTCTAGCAGAGTCTAGTTGGAGACCTGTGTCTAG